AGCGTTATTTAAATTGTCACCAGCAACTAATTCTGACAATAGTGATGATGTTAAAAAAATCTCAAGTAACAATAATAAATCTTCTGATGAAGAAGAAGATAGTAGGGTTATAATTCTAAGACTTAAAGGAATTATTAGAATAACAAATGATTCGTCATATATTGTAATACAAGGAGTTCAAGATCTATATTATTTAGAAAGTATTGCTATAAATGCTAATAATGACGAGATCCAAGATAAATTGGTGATGATTGGTAAAAATTTGGATTATAACAAATTAAAAGAGTCGTTATGGAGTTGTATGAATTGGAATTGATAAAATTAATCAATAAATAATTCAATATTTACTTTATTTATTATATTTTATTTATCCTGAATAAAACGAAAATTTATTATTAGAAATACAAAATTATTAAAAAAAATTTATTATATATTGAGAATAATTTTTATTATTATTATTATAGGATGTCATCTTCAAATTCTTCATTTAAAAATTCGCGATCAAATGCATCAATATCTATAGAAAAACTTGGATCTCCAACATTATTGAAATCCACTGTTGTACTTCGAGCTTTTATAGTCTTCTTATTTCTAATGAAAAATTTGATTAATTTGATTAATAAATATCATAAATTATTTATATTATTATTATTATCATCATAGTAATAAACAACTTACTTCCTTAATAATAAATATAATCTGGTAAATTGAATTAAATTTCTTGCAATTAATAAAATTAGATCAAAGACTTCCTCTGATTTATGAGAACATCCACCATCTAATATTAATATCAATGTAATAATACACAATAATACAAGAATTATATCTATTATATTATACATGGACTTCCAAAATAACTATTTTTCAAAAAAAAGAATTTAATTATTTTTTTTTTTTAAAAAAAAATTTAATTTAATAAATAGAATTTGCAAAACCTTTCTAAACGCTAAAAGGCGTGTTATTACTTCCAGTATCATCACTGTGTTAATTATAACTTCTAATGTAATAAATGCTACCGTTTGACTGTTAAAAATCAAAAAATTTATATCATTAATATATATTATCAATAATATTTATATCATAGGTGACATGGAAAACTTACCATTCTTCTACAAAAGACTTTAAAATTATTATTGTTGTTGTTATTATTGTTATTAGAAATAGTAATAGTAAAAATTCAAAATAATTAATTAATCAAAAAACTAAAAAATTATATTTACTAGGACAATTGAAGTAAAACTAAGAATGGCCATTCCCAAATATAACCAAGTATAAAATCTAGAATATATGATTCGATTTGCTATGCCATGAACGACTTCTGATCGAGATAATTTATATTGTGTGTTTGAAGTTCTTTTCATCATTTTTTGATAAAAGAAAGGTTAACTTTTTGAAAACATAAACATGAATGAAGTGAAATAAAAAAAAATAGTAATAGTTATTATGTTCTTACGGAACTGTTAAACCTTGACTATTATCATTATGATCATTTGAAGGAGAAGCAGAAGTAGCAGTTTGATTGTCGTTGTGATTTATAAGATTGGTTTGATCAGTGGTGTCTGACATTTTACAATTTGAAGAAAATTTATTTGTCTCACATTTGAATATGAGGCATGCTGCAACAGTGAATTAGTATTACCCAAAAATTTCAGGGATCAAATTTAGTCATTATCATCACAATCAGGGAGTGAAATGTGTGATCAAAAATATCGAGAAATATTGTAAATAATAATTAGTAGTAGTATGGTTCTATTCAAATAAGTTTTATTCAAATTACATTGAAAGTTTATTCGAATAAAACGATTTGAATAAAATATAAAATTTGTTGCATCAAGTTGTGAATTAATATTTTATATTTTCCAAAAAGAATAAAACGAATAAAATGAATAAAAACGAACAATTCGAATAAAATGAATAAAACAAATAGATAAAAACAAATAAAACAAATAATAAAAGATATAATTCTAACGAATAATTTGAATAAAAAGATACAGTATAATCCGAATAAAACTAATAAAATGAATAATAATGATAATTCGAATAAGAAATTGTAATGTTTTTTATCTCCTACTGCCCAACTGGTTTATAACACTTTTTATCTATCCCACAGAACGAAAAATATTCCTGTTAAGCCACTGAAAGACCTTCTCAATGAGGGCACTTTGACTGTCAACATCATTAGTCCAATATTACGTACATTCTTTCATGATGCTTCAATACATCCAGCCATATGGTCAAACCTAGCAGTATGAGTGCTAAAGTTTGTAAACTTGCTAACCTAGATCCTTCACATGCAAAGTAACTGGACATGGTCAGTAATGTTGTAAATAACAACAAATCTAAATATGAAATAATGTTTGGCGAGGTTACAGAAAAGAAAAAACAATAACGTAAAGAAAAACAACTTGGATCTTATCGGACTAGGCATTTTTATGAAGGATGCTCTTGATCTTCTCATTAAAGAAGACAGGAAAAGATCATATGACTTTTGCGTGGCAAACAATTAGTGAGTGTTCCACATAATTATCATATTGTCTGTATACTAACGTGTATATGACATTGGTAGTGACAATGTGGACAGGCTATATCATGATTTTGACCGCTTCAGAACTCTATATTATGTTCGATATTGGCGAGACAGAACTTCCCAGGTCCTTTCAAACCTGTGGACAAATTCATTAATGTCATTGATAATTTGTTCACATTCACTGTACGCTTAAATTAATGCTTTTGATTTTCTTTTCTGACGATTATTCTTATAACTAATCAGTGACATTTATTGCAAATCCCAGGAAAAATACGAGTATGAAGTACAAAAGCTTCATGATAATATTAACAAAAAGAATGAAAATATATACTAATGTTCCTGTAGAGACGGTAGAGATCATTAATAGGTTGAGAGTTACATTAGGAACACCGCAGTTTAAGGAAATAGTTGAGCGTAAAAATAATGATGTTCTTAGTGTGAATAAAATTTCAATGATATTGTATTTGTGGTGATGTTTATTCTTACAAAACAAACCCATTTTTAATATTGTATATATCCCGAAGTTGCTTAATGACAATAAAGTAATATTAATAAAATAAAAATTTCACCCAATGATTGGCGCGACAAATTGTCATATTAACATTAATATATGAATTTGACTCAGCTACGGCAGTAACCTGTCCATGAAATTTGCGGGTCCTGTGGCAAAGGATCTCTATTAATAAAATTTTGGGGGAATCCTCTAGGATCAATTAGAAATATTATGGTATGGTTAGTTTTAATAAATCAATAAATAAACATATATATGTGTGTGTGTGTGTGTGCAAATACATATATTAAATTTTCCTCCTATCAAAAAAAGCGCCATTTGCTTTTGAAAGAATTAAAGGTCAAGTGATCTCGTAATGAATGCCCAGTATTGTTGTCAAATCCTGATAGTTGAAACAGAGAATGTTTAGAAAAATTACACATATTTTTTTTGGATCATTTAATGTTCCAGTCTTTATATAGTAAGTAATGCATGATGTCACTTTATAGTTGTAATAGATTTACTGGTCTAATGATTGATTGATATTGGTTGTGATACTACTAGTGTTTCGGGCGAAACCTAACCCTTTCGCCCAACCCGAATCCGAAACTGGGGCGAAATTATCCGAAATCATATGATCAATTTCTGACCAATAGTAATTTTTCATTAATAAATATTTAAAATGGAAGAAAACGAAACAATAATAAATGACCATTCATCTTTAGTTACAGAAGAAAATTTTTCTTTCATTAGTAATGAGTCTCCTATTGTTGTTTCAAATGATGATACATTGACTGTATCCTCCCAAAAAAATTAGTGGAAAACCAAAGTCAATTGTATGGGGCAGGTACATCAAACAAGGGAGAGAAATTTCAAAAGGGCATTGGAATGCTACATGTAATTTTTGTGGGGCGTTTTGGTATAAAGATTCACCTGCTGCTCTTGAAAACACTTAGGTAATTTATGTGTAAAAGTACCAGTAGAAGTTCGCGATTTTTTTTTAGCAATCAATTAACTCAATCAATTATATTGAAAGTACCAAACTAACACCTCAATGTATTAATGATATAAATCGGGCATTGGTAAAATCATTTGTTGTTTGTGGGATTCGGGTTAGTTTCAGATTTCGGATTAGTTTCAGAAAAATACAAAAATTCCGATACTGCTATTACTATTATACGAATTAAATCTTTCTTGAATACACATCTGAGCTAATATCAAAAAAAATTATTATTATTATTATTAATCATAAACCATTATTTATAAAAAAATTGATACCTCTGTCATAATTTAACCAACAAAAAATTTCATTGCATGGGACAACCGATGATAGTAAACTCGCAATTCATCATCAGTAAAGTTGTTGTTATTGTAATCACCATTTTATAAATAATGTTTTTCTATAGTATGGGCAGCAAGTATAAATTTGAAAGGGGGTATGTGATAATCATTGATATGGGTGAAGTGTATTAAAAAGAAAAAAAATTCAATGTGGAGAATTTTCTACTAAATTTATAGAAATCTGTATCGGTTACACGCCAAAATTATCCAGATTTTCGTCACGCCATTACCGAAGGATGACATACGTTTTAGCAATTAATATTAATAATCATAAGAAATTTAATTAAAGAGTAGGCTCCATATGTAATTTCTTTTAAAAAGGACTATTGTGCTGGGTGATTTCGTCACCAACAGTATACATGTATTTATTTTTATTTATACCACATCATTATATATAGCAAAAAAATAAAAATATTATAACGCATCCATAATAAAAAAGATCTAATTTTATAAATTCCATAATATAAAGGAAATATCATTTAACAATCACGAAAATAAGAGTTTAAATGATTTGTTATAACAATGATATCACATCTATCACTGTTGACAAAATAAAATCTTATGCATGCAATAACGCATGATTAATAATATATTATTATAAATAAGAGATGTGCAAATAAACAGTTATATAATATTGTGAGGTTAAAAAATTGAATGTTTATGATTAATTTTCTTAATATTATTTTTAATGCGGGACATGTCAAAAAGTGAAATTTCTTCAACTGTATCAGAATGGTGATAATGATAAATTATCTTGCCTGTTTTAGGATGTACACAAAATGGACTTTTCAATAAATGGTTAATGTTTATTGATACTGCCTTATCAAGCCTTGGATATGCATATTGAAGAATGATTTCATTTTCACACATTGGTAAATTTCCTTTATTTATGGTTAGATTTAATTCATCTGTTATATCCTTCCACCTATCTGAAGATGTTTGTGATAGGTTTTCCAACCAATGTTTTTTCAAAGTATTTTTTTTATTTCTATATTTAACAAAAAATTTTTAATATCAAGTATTTTCATTTTCTTTTCCCCTCCTTCATCCTCAATGGTTGCTAATTAATATATTTACACTCATTAGGAATACATCCTAATACTTTATTCCAACAATTTTCATCTTTCAAAACATCTTGATCCTTCAATATTAAGTCATCAAAATATTGGTTTATTATACTTAAAGATTGACTAATTATTTGTTGTTCATAAAAAAATTACATATGAATATTATGTATATCTTCATATATATTAAATTATAATAAAATACCTCATGAAAGGATGCAAGTGCCCACCAAGGTCAACTCTTTTCTGTGCTTGTGCACCACCCTATACAGTACATGCAAACATACATATTGATTTATAATTGACATAAAAAAAATTTATATTCTCATGCTATATAACAAACCTCAATAGCTTCCAAGTATGATACAATAGCCTTCCTCTTATTGTTATTTTATTTTCTGGCTGAAGAATGTCTACCTGAATATACCCACAATAAATGTCTAAATCCAAAATCATCTAAAATACTAAATATGAAAATTACATAGAAACTAAAATGATCAATAATTGCCATTTTTTTAATAATGTTCTCAAATTACTCTCTACTTTGATAAATCGGTTTTTTGGTCCCTATTTTAAAATCCGTCATTTAAAAAATTGTCAATAAAATTTACTCTTCTTGTACCACAGTAATAACCTAAATAAACGTGGAGCAAAACTCGTAGTCTTTTATATGATAGGTAATTATTCAATATTCTTTACAACAACTATTTTTTGAGAGCAAATACACAAGATTATGATTGTTTGTGTTATTGTTATCAATATTAAACAACTATAAGAAATATGACTGTTAGAGATCTCTACCTCTCTCTATCTCATAGATACTTGGACAATTTGGAAACACGGAACACCAAACAATTTAATATACAATTTTGATTACTGGAAACTTATAGTTAAACCATTTCTTATTCCTTGAGCACATAAGGCTAATCTGACTTGTCCCTCCGACGATAACCATTTCGACTTCATGTATAGTATGAACGTGTAAAATGATTAATAAGATTGTAGTTACCTCATATTTATCTGCTAACTCTTTAATTGAAGCTTGATGTATCGTCTAAAAATATAAAATAGCATTAATAAAAAATAATGCTATGTAAAACAGTTAAATATAAAAACTACAATGTTTTTTAATAATAATAATAATAAGATCAGCAGTACGAGTAAATAATAATAATAAATATAATTAAATACAATCTTCGCCACATATTTATTCATCAACTCCAAGTTATCATCCAATTAAGTATGAAAAATAATCTTAATACAGTGCGTAATGTAATAAGCCATCAAATCTACAAGTGGATCTTTTCAATTGAAAATAAATCTTTCTATTAGAAACACATTATACAATTAGAATAATAAATAAGAAGAAATTGTGTTAAATAAGTTGTACTATTATAATTATATTACTACCATATATTTCTTTGTCTACTTTGAGGAAAGTTAAAATAGCTGTTTTCCATTTTTGCTGATTCCTAGAAAGCTCTTATTGAATATCTAAGCCATACTACATATTAAGTATATAAAAGGAACTTTGAATAAAAAAATGTTATTAATGTTATATATAATAATAATAAATGTCTATTTCAAGGAAAGTTAAATAGTTGTTCTCCGCTTTTGCTGATTCTTTAGAAAGCTCTAAAAAAATTCAAGTACTTTGTACAACAACAATGAGATCTGCAAATATGATTGAAATATGGGTTCCATGCTAGCAAAAAGGACCTTCGGGCTCAAGAACCCCAAAATGAGTTATTGACACTGTTATATTCCTTGAAGTGATGATTATAATTTGGCATAATTTTTGTCAACATTCAATTAATAGAAAAGTGTACAATTTGTTTACAAAAATTTATTGAATTTTGATCCCCAAAATTGTATAATGACAAAAAAGGAAATGATAATCTTACAATTATTATTATTATTATTATTATTTTAAAAAAAATATTGTTTTTAATTAATCTCCATTTCATTAGAATCAGGATTTGAAAAATGAACATCCTTATGAGGTTCTTCTACAAAATTCCTAATTTTTTTGTATAAATATAATTTTCTTTCCAAATCTATATTAATTGGAATAATATTAATGGGTTCATTATGACTAAAGTTATTATCTTTTAAAAGATTAAACCATTTTTCCTCACCACCAGATTTTGTTGAAACAAATACTTTTCCTTTGTTTTCAGGCAGATTATTAAATCTAAAATGATGATATTGCTTTATATTAGGTAAAGTTTTAAATTTTTTTTCAAATAATTCTCCAAAATTGTACCATTTCCACCCTAAACCATTTTTATATTGTATTGATTCATTTCCTTCTGAAGAATTATTAATAATATTTTCAATGTCTTTAATTTGATTAACTTTACTATTTCTATATAATTTTTTTATGTGTCCAAAAAAAGAATCACATATAAATTTTGTATGTCCTGGAATCATAAAATTAATTGTAATTTCCTCATACCAACCCAACATTATTATCCAAGTCCAAAACCAAAGAGATGGGTTATTTTTATTTTGTCCAGAGCAATTATCACAAGTTATATGTAATTTTTTTTTACCATTCTTTGCAAATATTTGCAGAGCCTGATAAACTAAATTTAAAGTAGTATTTGCTCCTTTAGATGTGCCTTGAGGAAGTTCATCTTCTCCTATTAAAAAATTCAATTGTTTATTTATTCCTCCCTCAGTTTTACAAACTCCAAATAAGTGAACAGCATAACCTGATAAAAAATACAATGGTCCTGCTTGCTGAGGTGAATAAGGAATGGTGACATTTTGTGCCCAATCATAACAAATATGTGCAATTGACAAATCACTTTTACTTAATTCAATATTATTATTATAATGATCACGTTCTAGGTTTGCCATTTTTTTATGTTCATTAAATTCAGCTTCAACATTATTATATTCATCAATATTTCTTTTTGCTAATTGCAATTTTGATTTAAATTGGACACAATTATCACATAAATCACTTGCAAGAGGCTGAAATTTTAAATTAGGCATTAGTTCATTCCAAAAAGAATCATAAGAAATAATTTTTTCTTCTTCTAAATCATTTTCAGATTCAATTTTCTAAATAAAATTTTTTAAATTCTTTATACACAGATATAAATCTTTTATCAGTAGGAAGATAAATAAATGCTCCAGAATCATTTCTATGTCTCATTGGTGAAGGTAACCCATGTATTAAAGAATATTGATTTAGAAAATTTCTTACAATGAATTTTAAATTTTCATCAATATTGACTTTAGTTTTATATATAGGAGCTCTTCCTGTGTTTCCATGAATTC